CGGGCTGCAAACAAGTGGTTTTAGTTGTTGGGCTTGACCACGTGTGATGTAGACTCAGGGGAGATGGAGGGAAGAATGAAGATCGATAAGGGGCAGCTGGTTACGCGGCGGAGGAGGTTTGGTGCAGCCGATACAGGGTTGAGGGTGAGGAGTGCATGCAGTTAAGCGACGGTTGGCCATGCGAGGCGCCGAGCATGCAGAAGGTTCTTTTGTGCACACAAGACCGGTTTCCTCAATCTGATAGCGGTTGCTCCTGTCGTTGCTAGCAGACAGTGATCCAGGGCCCCGGAGTACTTTGGTGGGACTTTAAAAATCATCCGGAAAGCCGCCTTGGGGTCCACACAATGCCTGGGATCAACAATGCGCATGAGAAGAGCGCTGTTTATGCCCCCATAGTTTCACCTTTTTTCAGTCAAGCCAAGTGGTGTTCCATTATTCCTTTGGATAAGCGTCGATCAATATAACCTGCTCCGCAGGAGCAAGTAAATGAGTATATGCAAATGAAGGTGGTCTGAGTTGGTAATCTATTCCTATCATCCTTGTTTAAGACCGTGGTTGGTTGAGAATAATAGGCCAACTCTCGCTGCTGGGAAGGTTCGTGACACGGCTTGGTCAAGGCGTCTTCTTAGGAGCTCACTTGCCGAATCCACCCGAAGGGAGGTTTAGAGAACTAGCGTTTTCTTTCCCACAGTAATTGCGCAACCATGCTCTTTGTAATAAATCTTTCCGGATACTTCTTTCTGCGAAGCAGGTCCTGCATTTTCTTAAGCTCTTCCCAAAAATTGCCTATCGAGCAAACATTTCAAGCCCCTTGCGCCAAACAGCGGACTAAATTGCGGTTCTTTTGGATGGGTACAAAACTGTTACCGTTCGTTTATTGTCCAGAACAGGTTTTCTTTCGATAAACTCTCCTTCACTTGGGGATTTCAAACACTGAAATAGTAACCAAGGGGTCCATTGAAGATGGGTGTCCGTTTAGTAAATAGATACCGTAGCTTCCAGAAAGTACAGAAAACCGGAAAAATAAATAGAACTGATGCACCGATTATCAAAGTGAAAGGATGAAACAGATTTTTTGACATTATAATTCCAAATGGTGAGTTTTTAAACCTGCGTTATGTCAAATTGCTTTAGGCTCTATCGCGTAAGCATTTAACGATGGAAATTTTGTCCGTTACTTTTCCTACAGCTAGAGTTTTTTTTCGTTTCAATCACCACTGTCGCCAGTCTTTTAACTAATTACACGGTAGAAAATCTTTATCCTGGTCTGTATCCCGAAAATTTGAACACGCTGGCGATGCATCATGGATGCCGTAACTAATGCCCTCCTAATTTAGTCGAATGATTATGTTATTCCTAAGCTGAACATTGATCCTTCTTTGGTTTTGGAGCTGCCGTTTTTTGGTTCGATTAGGTTTATCTGTGCTCACTGCATCCTCTAGGCATTCCCTCTATGTTTGCCGCAGTTTGAGTTGTTTATCATCTCATGTTACTTTTTTTGTAGTTAACCATCGCCAGGGGCCCTCAGCCAGCCAATTTAAACTTCCTTACTCCGCCTCTTGACCAACCGTGAGTTAATAGTATTCGATATATGAATGATTTCTGCTACGTTACATTAATTTTATCAGTTTGTGCTCACGTTGTTTGTCCTCCCACACAATTGGTTTATCTATAAAGAGAGTTAACTTAAAGATTTATTATTCCGTTTTTCAACCTCAGAAAGCACTATGAACTAAACCCAAGTTTCAGCTGCATTCCAGGTTAAGATCACTTAAAAAGAAAACTGCTTTAACAGAATACCAACCTGTTGAAAATTCGGCGGCCTTTGAAGGATTCGCAACTGTAGCGGAAATGGTGCGGCTTGGGTACCACACGTACTAACCACCCGAGATACGAGGCCTTAACATTCAGCCTTGAGCTCTTCACCTCCTGGATACATGTCTTTGATATGCGATTGGTAAATGAATTTTACTTTAGACCACCCGTATTTTGTCTGGGTTTGAGAATTAATACTGTTTTGATCTGGCGAGGAATTATTGCCGAATAACGTAAAAAGAAGCATAAACCCAATTTTAAGTATTCTAAAGCTTCTTTGTCTTGTGCCCACAACGGTTTTTTTCCCCGGGCAGGTCGACTACCGAAATGCTTTGCTGAAAAAAGAGGTTGAGTTTGTTTGTCCAAACACTTGTTTATGGTAACAAATATAAACAGTTGTTAGTTAAACAGATATGGGATGTTTGCGACAGAATTAGTAACTGAATTTGTCCCAACCCTGCGCGGAGGATTTGCCGAAGCCGGGGAAGGACATGGCGTCGTTGCCCTTCCAGAACATGTTGCTACCTCCACCGATCTTGTCCATGTGATCGTTCATGAAGTTGAAGCCGGCGCCAAAGTTGTCGACAAAAGTGAAGTGTTTGCCTTGTTCAGCCAACTGGTGAAGGCCAGTGTGTTGGCTGTCAAGGTCATCATAGTTGTCCTCCAGAGCTTCAAACTTGTGGTGCAGGTCATTATCGTGCAGAGCATCGAACTGGTGGTCCATAAGCTCAACACCGTCATTCAAATGTTCTTCACGGCCGGCCAGCTGTTCGTAGCCCTCTTCAAGGTCAACATCCTCGAGGTAGTCCTCAGCAGCATCGAGTTTCTCACGACCATAGCCAAGTCTATCAAACTCGGACTTCAGCTGCTTCACCTGGGGTTCGGGTTCAACCTTCTCAAAGTGACGGAAACCCTTGGTTAGCATGCCATCGCCCTTTGCTAACTCTTCCGCCGCGCCTGCAAGACGATCCTTGCTGGGATGCATTTCCATCTGACTGAGTTTTCTTTCACGGTCCTTTAAGTAGTCCAGAGTATCCTCTAGTTCGTCCATTTCACCGTACACTCCAAAGAAGGGCTTGTCTAGGTGCTTTCCTTCCAGTCTTGAGAAACCTGTTTCCATGAGTTTTCCACTATTCTGGAGGTAGTCCGCCTTCTCTTCAAGTCGATCGAGGCTGGAGTGGAATTGTTCTGGGTGCAGTTGGTACTCGAGATCCTCCAGGCGCTGCTCAGCATGCTCAAACTTGTCCTTGTGGAAGACAGGTTCCGCAGGTTTGTGGAGCTTCGCGGAATACCTGTGATGCTTTGGTTGGGCAAGCTTCATCTGGAATTCGTCTGGCTTATAGCCAAGATCGAATTTTTTTCCAAAATGCTTTTTATCAGAAGACTTGTAGAACTTGTTGGGAACTTGCATTTGGACATGCAGTTTCGATGATGGTGCCCTGAACTGGTCGAGTTTCAGTTCAGTTGCCATCCGCTCTGCGGGCTTCTGTTTCTCAGCGAGCTCTTTGAAGTCAACGTCAAACTTCTTCAAAGGCTTCTGCATTGGTCGTTCATGCCTCTTCAGGGGCTCTTTACCGAGATCAAACTTCTCGTAGGGCTCGCGATGCCCCAACAGGCTCTTTTTGCCTGACTGCTCATACTTCTTGTCCCGGAGCTGGTCCTGAACCTTGTAGGCGGAAACCTCAGCTGCTACGAGTGCGACGATTAGAAGAGCTAGAAGGAACTTCATTTTTTGTCGAGCTTGTAGTTGTGGCATGCTTTTATACTTGTTGAGTGCTGTCAAGGCTTCGACAGATCTACGCATAAGTGCAATCGATGAGGACCGTCAGTTGCGTCGTTATCAGACGCCAAGAGGTCATGAAGGCAAATTTGATTGGCCCGAGCTGTCGGGTTTTGGGACGGAATCGCTATAATATTATCCTAACCACACTTCGGAAAGTTTTAGACGAGGAGACGATTTGGTGTTTCGCCTGCTGGTTTGTGAGGAAAGCAGTTCTAGGAACCCGCCTGTTGTTAAAGGAGGGTAGCTAGGGAACATTTACTTTTTAATTACAGGTTGCACATTGTGGACATCCCTTAGAGCGGTTAGTTACACAGATAAAAACTTAACTCCAGACACAGATGAATACTTAATTTCAGACAACCCGTTTCTAGTTTTTTTTGTAAATTTTTGTTTCAAGTGGGTCGCCCTGAAAAAAGGTACCTTACAGAATATTTGAAGACTAAAATTCACTGAAAGATATTCTCGCCTGGCTTTCTAAAAAGACTGTTTCAGTATGTCCCTGAGTAAGATGGAAAAAAGGTCACATAGGGCTAAGCTGTTCGTTGACATTATAACCTGTTACTTGGGAATGGACAACAGCGTTTACATAAACCTGACATGCAGCGTGACACTCATTCTTCGGATCCCAGATAATTTAAAAATGGAAACAATAAACTGCGTGTGGCGCTAATGGATAGCAGACTAACACTTCTAACTAAGCAGATCCGACTAGTAACGAAGAATATTTAAAAGGCATTTTTATATGCAGGTACTTATAAAATGATTTAGAAGATCTAAAATACAATTTTCGTTACATAACACCTGACCAAAAGTTCTATCACAGTCTGGAAATACTGCTCCCACCAGACAGGATTCTTTCTGACATAAACTAATTGGGTCAGGTGCATTTGCACAGCCTAATAAAGAATGGGTAAGTGGGCTTTTGGAAGCCAGTAAGAGCAGTTTGCAACCAAACCAGCTTACCCAACCCCCCTTTCCCCCCTGAGACGCATGCGTGTGTGTGTTTGTCACACATAGACGAGTCGCTCAATCATCACGCCCAATCCAGGCAAGAGTTGACGAAGGACCCTAACAGTCAACTGGTATAGAGAAGAGGGCAGAAAGAAGGATAACCACGCAGAGGAGTACGTATTCATGACAAATCAGCCTATTACGCATCCCCTAAAAGGCTGGCCTGCTTGAACCTGCCACAGCGCGCTAAGAGCAGAGGCTTTGACATTTGCCAACTGATGAGATAGTTCAATTCTCATAGTGAGCATATTGAAGGGACTGAGATTCCGGCTGATGCTAGGGCTCCCTCTCGAGCTGATCTTTATAGCACTCCAACGCATGTGAGATCCAAGCTGTTGCTATCTGGTGCGTATTTTTTGGAATCAGGTCTTATGTGGCATGCGTAGGCAGGCTAGTGAGCTCTGTCAGCTACTTGCACCCAGCCTCGGTGTCAGATGGCCGATTGACTCAGACGACGCACTGGTGCGTAGGAGAGCCAGTAGAGAGTGAGTGCTTATTTTAAGATATTTGAGGGAAATCTTCGAAGTGTCCTTGAAAAAACGCTTTTGCATGTCTTGTATGCGAGTACCTTGTCTTTTCTGTGCCACCTTAGAACAGTCGCTTGGGCAGGCGCCTGTTACTAATCCTTATGACTTGGCCGCCGAAACTCAATTGTATATCACGAATAGAAGAGAATATTTGTATCCAAGGTTCTTGTTGTAAAGAAGGCAAAGGCGTGATCACTGGGACAGTGCCTGAATTAGCCTGAGGTTTCGGCTTCATACTGGAGGCTATCATCAGAGAAAATGAAGGAACAGCAAGCAGTGGCATGTTTTGCAGTCCGGCTAAGAGGAAATGGGAGGGGATGGGTGAGGGGGT